CGTTAAAGTGATAGTTCAACCAAAAATCTATTTGTCATTTTTAGATGAATTAACATTCCAAACTTGTAGACTTTTTTTTTTCCTTCTGCGGAACAAAAACATTTGAAAGAACATTTGTGGTCCAAACAGCTTTCTCTTCCAGTGTTTGGACAAAACAAAACTTTATTTTATTTTTAAATATAATTTTTTATGTTCCACAGAGGAAAGAAATGTCTTTGTAGACTAGAGGGGGGGGGGGGGGGCGACATAGCTGCAAGCTCTCATTCAGATCTGCCTCCATCCAATCATCAACTGATGGCCAGGACTAAATCCCACCCTAAAAAAAAAAATTGTTCCTATATATTGTTGCTGTATAATTCCTGATAATGTTTTATTCAGTTGTCTTCCATTACGTCTCAAATGTAACTTCCGTTAAAGTGATAGTTCAACCAAAAATCTATTTGTCATTTTTAGATGAATTAACATTCCAAACTTGTAGACTTTTTTTTTTTCCTTCTGCGGAACAAAAACATTTGAAAGAACATTTGTGGTCCAAACAGCTTTCTCTTCCAGTGTTTGGACAAAACAAAACTTTATTTTATTTTTAAATATCATTTTTTATGTTCCACAGAGGAAAGAAATGTCTTTGTAGACTAGGGGGGGGGGGGGGCAGTCCTTTGGCGTTTTCCATGACTCTGATTGCATTTGTGTATAGACGTCCTAATGATAAGACCTTTTTGGAATGCGTGCAATTTCCTCAACCCTCCTCTACGGCCGTGCGCAAACATGAAACCCCCACTGCTGGAAAAGGACCTCAACTTTGTGAATGAAAAGTTATTTGGCTAATTATCTTACAGAAATGTATGAAATGCATCTCGGGACGAACACTCCTCCTCATCCTCGGCGTGTCTTCAGACATCTGCAGTGTGTTATGTTGTCTGGCAGTGTGGGGTCAAGGTTGAGGGTTGACGTCAGAGTGGCTGAGGTGATTTGGCAGGTCCAGACAGGGGGTGAGTCATGGGAATGAATCTGTGCTCTGATCCACTACTGATGACTCGGCACTCCCACATGGCTCGAACAGGAAGGCCACAACTCACCAACCCCGTCTCTCTGTCCCTCCTTGTTCAAGTCCTTGGTTGTGTCTGAAAGCTTGGCAAGCAGAATATGGTGTGGTAGGAAGGTAACGAAGCACATGCGAATCAAATGTTTGCATAATATTGTCTACCAAGATGCCTTCATTTGATTGGCAGCATATTTTTGCCTTTAAGCCACAATGGTTTGTGTGTGGTCGATGGTTGGTAGAAAATAACAGCATGTGATGGAGCTGTGTAAATTTATCTAAGAATATATGACTCCTCATGTCTCCTGAGAAATAAGCATTATGGTCACTAAATATTTGCTTTGGTTATCTTGAAATCTCTAGATTTGTTTTGGATCATCAGACATGATGTCATGATGCCTTCATGCAGAAAACATCAAGTTTAGTCATCGAGTGACTGGGCAGGAATGCCGCTTCCTTGGGTTTTGAACACAAGCCATCTCTGTCCTTTTGTATATTTTGTCTTTGACCGTTTTAGTCACCATCTTTTTTTTGTGGTTCTCTCCCTGTCTTTCCGTCATCGATCTCTTTCTCAGCCTCTTTCATTTATCTTCTCTTACTCACTGCCAGCTTTCTCTCTCGGACGTGAAATTCATGTTTTTGGAATTTGATGGAGAGATGTGAGCACAAATGTCCTTAAAAGGAATGAGTGTGCTGCGTGTTTCCTGCAGTGTGTGGTGGGAATGCTGCAGCAACACAGATTCCTGTCATGTTTCATATGTTTGCCATTGTGTGCAGTGCGTTTCCGTGCCTGTGTCCCCCTCCGACCCCCACCCACCACATTTAGAAATGGTTGAGGATGGTTGAGGAAGTTGATTAGTGAGGTCAGCATGTCCATCTGCGCATATATATATATATATGTGTATATATATATATATGTATATATATATATATATGTATATATATATGTGTATATGTGTGTGTGAAAGGGTATGGCTCCAATTCAGAGTGGCACAAAGCGCTTATGCGCATCCCGTGTGCAAAATGTTGCTTTTGTTTTTGTTGTTCTTATACTCTACATTCAACTGTTTATAAAATCCAGAACAGTCTGAACGCCTCCTAAGAAATTCTTTTGATCAATGTGGAACAAGACTCTAATATGGCTCCAATTCAGAGTGGCACAAAGCGCTTATGCGCATCCCGTGTGCAAAATGTTGCTTTTGTTTTTGTTGTTCTTATACTCTACATTCAACTGTTTATAAAATCCAGAACAGTCTGTGAACGCCTCCTAAGAAATTCTTTTGATCAATGTGGAACAAGACTCTAAATCAGCCTAATTACATGGGGCTCATGCTGACTAGTAGACTCGTCGTTAAAACATCCTAAACCCCAATCCCAAATGCACCCCAAAAATTGTCCTGAAACATTAGCTCACTTTACATTTTTACTCATTTATTAGATTTTTGGGAACCGTAAACCACAGCATGCTTTTCTGTCTGTGAGGGTGGGCTGCTGGGGGGTGATAAATAAGCATCAGTTTTAAATGCATAACCACTCAATCCCAGTTCCATTGAGCATCAAGGTCTTTCCTGTGAATTTAACCATTTGAAACGAACTGGCAAAGGATTTTGAGATGTCAAAAGCAGATCAATACCCAAGGCTCTAGAGGCCAAAAAATGCTGCATGACGAAAAATAACTGGGGATCATTTTATTTGTACAGCCCTCAGGATGTCTGTGTAAGCCCTGCTTTTAAGTTGATGGTAAGGTCCGCCTCTAATACCTTAAACAAGCGCCAACAAGTTCCCATGTAATAACACTCTTTTTGTTATTTCTCTGTCTTCTCTTCACTGCCATAACAGTGAATCATACTGTAATAGTCACTCATCACAGTCTGCACACTTGTATTATGCTGATTTGGGTTTGTTTATAATATTTCACTCATATTTTTTTCCCGTTAGTACCCTTGTAGGAATAAGATTAATCATAGTCCAAGGCAGCACGATCTACAGGACGTTCCACTAGAGCTGACTCTGGAAGAATTTGGTGATACTTAAACTTCCCCTTCCAGCATTAACCATAATGGCGCTTCTTTATGGGTCCATAAATTTCCATATTATTGCTCCGATTCTGAAGCACATGCCCAGTGTGTTTGGTCTGTGAATAAAGGGATCAGAGAGGGTTCAATAGCACCTTCACCAGAACCCAAGATGAATTCCAGCAGGCTCTGGGGGCTCATGGTTTGTAAACCGCACCGGGAGACCAGAACTAGAGAAAAATGTGAATGTATTATTTTACATGGCCAAACAAGCGCTGCTGGATAACTGGAACGGGTCAGGAGGGGGATAAAATGTTATGTGAGATCTCACAATATACAGCACATTCATTGAGTATTTCTGAACCGATGAAATGCTTACTTTCCTCCTTGAGACAATGATTTGCTTATAGATTGAGTTTTGCTATGTTTTAAAGGGAAAGTTTACCAAAAAATCAAAACGGTCATTTCTCACGTCATACCTCTACTGAAAGTCTGATTTCTCAAAACGTTGGATGATTCAAAAAGTTAACTGTAAAAATCCTTATGAATTAGTTTATTCCAAGTGTTGGATGAGCTCTATGTATGTGCGTTGATCATTACTGATGAGTGAAAGCCTAAACTGGAATAAAATGCTTGATTCATATGGATTAGATATGAATTGTTTACAACATTTTTATGAACCATTAGAAGCTTCAAAGTTGTCAAAGAAATCTAATTTTTCATTAAATTATATTAAATAAATAATAATAAACAATGCGTTAACATTAACCTAACAAAGAGCGTTACATTTTTTTACCATATTTATGAATCTTCATTGACGTTTGGTTATAAATTAAACTGCTCATTGTTAGTTCATGTTAGCTCCGTCAGTTCCATTAAATATTAACAGATACAACTTTTGATTTTTTTTCTTTATTGTATTAGTAAGTTTTGAAATTAACATGAATAAATGCTGAAATGAAGCGTACTTAACTTTCACAGTATGGTTCGATCGAAAGTGTCACCTTTGGTTATGAAATGCCAAATCAATATTTTTCTGTATGTCTGGGTTATATCGAAATATTCTCCCCTCCCTTTGTCCCCTGCAAGGTTAACTGCATCCTCAGTGGAGCATGTGTCAGTTAAAACAGGAAGTTGCACTGCATTACACTGCCCTGCCCAAGTCCTTCCCCAGGGCATGCGAGCGCTATCAAAGAACAATTATCCACGTTATCTTCAAATATGTCTTGATTCTCTCCCTGTCCCAGCTTGGATTAGGCCTCACTTACATACTAAATGCAGCATAGGATGTGGTAAGAGTGTTCTGTTTGTGCATTCAAGTTGTTTTGCATTTCTTCTGTAGCTCGGGACGCATGTGCAAGCCTATAACCGCATTTTGAATGGGCGTATGCTCTTGTTAAAGAGAAATGGTAGGGGAAAGGGAAGTGTGAAAGTGTTGTATGAGGGTGGAGATCAGACTATGATCAGATCTTGAAGTCGACACAGGGTGGAGCGACTAGAGGAGGAGATGGGTTTAGATTTATTTCCATCCTTTTTAAGAACCGTAAGGGCAGAGCAAATAATAAAAGGCTACCAGACTTCATCCGGCTCTCTTAGATTTCAAATTGAAATTGTCCTGAAATAATCCTCAGATGGGATGGTGCCAACCATCTAGATGGTTTAATCCACAAATGTCTTCTCTGATTATCATCTGCACTCTGAATCTGAAGTCCTGCCAGCATTAAGTCTGATTGTTTCACATGTGCAGTGCAGATACAAGCGCTTCATTGTTTGGTGACCATTTGTGGCATGGTCTGCAACTTATTGCACCGTCTTTGTGCTGAATGATAAAAGTATTCGTTCCAGCTTTATAGATCCAGATGCCCTCAGATGATAAAAAAAAATCTTATTTACTCCAATGCGTTTTGGCAAACTCTATGTAACCCTTCTCTCTGTCTCTGTTACAGACAGTAAGGCCATAGTGGATGGGAACCTGAAGCTGATCCTGGGTCTGATATGGACTCTGATTCTCCATTATTCCATCTCCATGCCCATGTGGGACGAGGAGGAGGAGACCGAAGAAAGCAAGCAGAAGACACCCAAACAGAGGCTGCTCGGATGGATCCAGAACAAGCTGCCCGAGCTGCCCATCACCAACTTCAGCCGGGACTGGCAGTCAGGGAAAGCCCTTGGCGCTTTGGTGGACAGTTGTGCCCCAGGTGAAATATCTGGGATGGTCTTTTGTGGGAATTTAGAGATCTCAGGGGTTTAGTGGTCTGAGAATATATTTAATATATTTAGTATTACATTTGGTGTTCCTATTAGGCATGTTCAGTCTACATGAATCATGATCAATAGACTTAAATTTATACATTTGCTCAGATTGTTTATATACAGTATTTTTTTTATTAAATTGAATGCATAAATGTTTAAAGAGGTCCCTGCTTAGATTTGTAGTAATAACGAGTAATTAATTGAATCAACTTTTTTTTCGTGCTGTTGATAGCAACACCAGCAAGTATTTTAAAGCAAGTCTTACACAGTCCTTAGAAAACGTGAGCAAATACAGTTTATTTATTTTTGTTTTTGGTTTGCAGGTCTTTGTCCAGACTGGGATTCCTGGGACCAGACCAAGCCTGTGGACAATGCCAGGGAGGCCATGCAGCAAGCTGATGACTGGCTTGGTGTTCCTCAGGTACTTTATCTTAGATCGGTCATCTCTGGCCTTTTCATTAACTACTGAATAATCAGAGAACAGAATGTTCTAGAGCCCCCACCTGGCATGTTTCTAATTCAATGCAGCAACCATGGCTTTTGTGGTTTCATCATGACCTGAATTGGAAAGGAAACAAATGAAAAAGCATTTGGCTCAGTCACGCCATATGCTGTTTTCACCTTGGTCATAACGGTAAAGTTGCAGTATGCAATCTCACCTATTGCAATAGTGTTTATGGTTTAACTTAAAAAAAATTTTTTTTTTTTTTTTTTTGAAGGACTAGACAAATAGGGAACTGAGTCAAATCACTTTTCTCTCTACTGATGTATCAAAACTACCCAGTGAGGTTTCTTTGTCATGGTGCATGCTGATGGTGTGCCAAGGCTGGCATGTTGCGTGCCGTCAGTTATGCTTGTGGTTAGGTGTTTCCGTCCCTAGGGCTGATGTTACTATGATACAGACTTCTCAGTTTGTATCTTAATAAACTTCCTGTTGGCATGGTATGATAAAAACACCTTGTTTTACAAAATGTTGGTTTAGGTTAAATTGCATGCCGTTTCTTCACCAGGTGATCACTCCAGAAGAAATCGTTGATCCCAATGTGGACGAGCACTCTGTTATGACTTACCTGTCCCAGTTCCCCAAAGCCAAACTCAAGCCTGGTGCCCCCCTGCGGCCCAAACTCAACCCCAAAAAGGCCCGTGCCTATGGACCAGGTAAACCGTGACCAGCTGCATATTTGCTATGGTTTTATTTTAGTTTTGTCTGAAACTGATTGTTTTAATATAAGTGTTTGAGATGCAGTTCTTGGAAAGTGAAAAATCATGGGTATTGTTCTGTGCCATGCAGGTATTGAGCCCACAGGTAATGTTGTGATGAAGAAGGCAGTGTTCACTGTTGAGACCATCAGTGCTGGTCAGGGCGAGGTTCTGGTTTACGTGGAGGATCCAGCTGGCCACCGTGAGGAGGCCAAAGTTACAGCCAACAATGACAAGAACCGCACCTACTCTGTATTCTATGTACCAAAAGTCACTGGACAACACAAGGTACCCAGAAGTGTTTACATGAAAAAGATGAAACAATGTCTCAACAAAAAAAAAATTATACTGATATTTTAAAATAGGGGCAGTGCATCACCATGTGGAAGCAAACATTCTTGCCTGGTTTTTAATAGACCTATGTCTGTTCTCCTAGGTGACGGTGCTGTTTGCAGGGCAACACATCTCCAAGAGCCCATTTGAGGTGGATGTGGGAATGGCTCAGGGAGACTCCAGCAAGGTCACTGCCCAGGGCCCAGGACTTGAGCCTGCTGGCAACATTGCCAACAAGACCACATACTTTGATGTCTACACAGCTGGTACTGGTCCTTGATGTATCATACGTTATGCTTATTTTGGTTGTAGATGATGCTTTAAAAATAAAGTATATAAAATAAGCTGTTTATTTTTTTTAGCTAAATAAAGATAGGAGTAGACAAAATAAACATCATATTATTCGTTTATCTAAAGAAGTAACATAATTTAAACTAAACCAACCAAAATAAACATTTTTAAAAATAAGATGTTGTTTCTCAGGTGCTGGAGTAGGAGAGGTCGAAGTGGTCGTTATGGACCCCAGTGGAAAGAAGGGCACTGTTGAATGCAGTGTTGAGGATAAGGGCAACAGCAGCTACCGATGCACTTACAAGCCCACTCAGGAGGGCCAGCACATCATCTATATCACCTTTGCTGGGGGGCAGATCTCCAAAAGCCCTTACACTGTCCATGTGGGAGAGGGTAAGATCCAGAGAAGGGCTAAGCATGAATATATTGTGTGTAAGACAGGAAAGGGAAGTAGGTGGAAGGGATATACACACAGGATTCATTTTAATGAGGCATGGAAAGGCCATTATCACTAAATGGCATGTACAAAACTTCATTTAAAAGTTTAGGTTTCTGTTATCTGTCCTTGTCTGCATTGCTTTTTCTTGCTGTCTTTTTCCTCTGTTTTTCTTCACTGGCAATTGTGTCTCTCCTTTTGAAGGACGGGTTTCGTCTACATCCACTGGTATCTCTCCTTTTCTCTTTGGATCGGCCTCCCTTTGGCTTTTGATGTCTTTTCCTTGGATATGTCTTGGGTACTTGACATGCTGCTTTTCTGTCAATGTCCTGTTGTTTTCAGTTGCCCCTCACTTTAGGCTGCAAACACTTTACAGTGCCAGTGAAATTACATGACATCATTTTGGACCGCTGGTTCTACTGACCAGAAAGTGTTTAACTGCCCATATAAGTGCTAATAGATGTTCGCTTCTCTGGAGACGTGTGTAGACAATGTTATCCATGGCGTTGTAAGCCAAGCAAAATTCCTGTGACTCAGTAATGTGTGGAGCAGTAGTCAAATGGAACATTAAAAATAGCGTTTTATTATCAGACAGTTTTTCCACCAGTATTATTCAGCACTGTAAAGTCATTCTTACCACTTCCTCTTGTAAGGCTGTTTGGATCAAGACAAAGAAAGATAAGAATTTACACCACGAGCAGAGCCTAGTGTTACTAGGCCCCCCCCCCCCCCGTATGCTCCATGTTTTTCTGCCTGCTTTTTTTGAAGAACAGATATGTAGTACAAGTTTCTTTTTATTTTTAAAATAGAAATCATAAATTTCAACTTGTTCCTCCGTTTGTAAATACCAGACACATTTACAGTAATGCAATGTACAATCAAAGTCGGTGTTGCAAGGCATTACATTGAAATGTTGAACATACGGTTTCGAAAGTATGCTCCCGACATTATACATGTTAACATGAGAATATTTTGTTAACTGGAACCTACACCGCTCTTCACACAGTTAGCATATTTCAATCCTGTCATGACCACAAAAAGGCTGTTAACTTATGCAAGGATATCATACATTATACATAATGACACTATTTCTCAATTGTGACTTTAAATTTCACAGTTGTGACTCTCTATCTCACAGTGTATCTTTTATATCTTATTTTTTATTTACTAATAGGGATGTTGCTTTTTCCGTTGAATCCTTTGTTTTTGTAAATAGAAGGGTACACCGTTAACTACAAATTTGTACTAACTTGGTTATGTTCTCACCAGCCTGTAATCCAAGCCTGTGTAGAGCCAAGGGCCGTGGTCTGCAGCCTAAAGGCTTGAGAATCAAGGAGACTGCAGAGTTCAAGGTTTACACCAAAGGAGCTGGCACTGGAGACCTCAAAGTCACCATCAAAGGGCCCAGTGAGTGGATGTCATACTCATTCACAATGTTCACGGTGCCCTCAGTATTAACTTAAGCTACAGTACAGATGTTTTAAGAGCTAGTTACCCAACAACTAAATGTTTTACGCAGAGGGTCTTGAGGAGCCCTGTAAGAAGAAGGAACTGGGAGATGGGGTGTACAGCTTTGAGTATTACCCTACCACAGCTGGGAATTACATCATCACGATCACATGGGGTGGACAACACATCCCACGCAGGTAAATAATTAATCTCATGCAGTGGGTTTCTATTCCCAATAAGAGAGTAGTGATTGGACTTGATAAATGTCAATTCCTTTTTCTTGTTTTCAGTCCGTTTGAGTTAAAGATTGGATCTGAAGCAGGACCGCAGCAGGTCAGGGCATGGGGTCCAGGACTGGAGAGTGGTGTGGTAGGCAAGTCAGCTGACTTTGTGGTGGAAGCTGTCGGGGGTGACGGGGGTACTTTGGGTATGTTCCATTAGCTTTTCTTTCATCCGCCTGTTTGAACAGCATACAATTGTATTTCTTAAATCCAATATGAACTTGGGAACTCTCCATTCAGGGTTCTCAGTGGAGGGCCCATCCCCGGCTAAGATCGAATGTGACGATAAGGGAGATGGCTCCTGTGATGTGAGGTACTGGCCCACAGAACCGGGTGAGTATGCAGTTCATGTGCTCTGTAAGAATGAGGACATCCAGCTCAGCCCTTTCATGGCTGAAGTCGTACCTGCTCCAGGAAAAGACTTCTACCCTGACAAGGTAATTAATCTGCCGCCTTTCTAGAAATATTTGATGTGAAATTATTCCTAACATGAGCAGCTGATAGTCCATACTCTAAATGAGTCTGTTGTTGGTAATTCTTATGATGCGTCTCATTTTGTAATTCAGGTGAAGGCTTATGGTCCAGGTCTGGAGAGCGCTGGCCTTTCAGTCGGCAAACCAGCAGAGTTCACTGTGGATGCCAAACTAGGTGGCAAAGCTCCTATAAAGATTCTAGCTCAGGTGTGGATTCTGCTTTATGGCTCATGACTGACTCTTCACTAAAAATCAAAGCACTAACAAGCTCTTTCCCTCTCAGGACCGTGATGGAAACCCAGTGGATGTGCAGGTGAAGGACAACGGTAACAGAACATACAGCTGCAGCTACACCCCTCGCAAACCACTCAAACACACTATGATGGTGTCCTGGGGTGGAGTCAACATCCCAGAGAGCCCATTCAGGGTGGGTAGTCATTCAGATATGGTTAACGTCCTTGGAATCAGTAATGAAAAGTGTTTTAATGTGTTCTCACTGCATTTGTCGTGTAGATGAACATTGGGGCAGGGTGCCATCCCAATAAGGTGAAAGTATCAGGACCTGGAGTGGCCAAGACTGGCCTGAAGGCATTTGAACCAACATACTTCACTGTGGATTGTGCCGAGGCGGGACAGGGTAAGAAATTTAACTCTAAAAGAACTAGATGTAAACTAATATTTTCATGTCTTTTTGGGGCAAATAAGCTTAGTGTTGTTTTTGTCCTCCTGTTTTTCTAGGTGACATCAGCATAGGCATAAAATGCGCTCCAGGTGTTGTGGGACCTGCTGAGGCTGACATCGATTTCGACATCATTAGAAATGACAATGACACATTCACCGTCAAATACACCCCCCCTGGAGCAGGCAGCTACACAATCATGGTGCTGTTTGCTGAGCAGGTAAGAGGAAGCACAAGTGTATGTGGTGAATGGTCTAGTGAGGTTTCTTTTATTCAAACTAGTTTCATTTTCTAGGCCATTCCCCTGACGCCCATCAGAATCAAGGTTGATCCCTCTCATGATGCCAGCAAGGTTAAAGCAGAAGGCCCTGGACTCAACCGTACTGGTGAGGAAAACGTATTTAATAAAATGGGGGGAAAAAAATAAGTAGACAATTATTTAGTATGACCAACACATTCAGTTAAAAAGTTTTCAGTTTTGTTTTTTAGTTTAAAGGGGAATCTCCAATGCTGTTATTTCTTTTCAAGGTGTGGAGCTGAACAAACCCACTCACTTCACTGTGAACACCAAGGCCGCAGGCAAAGCTAGGCTTGACGCTCAGTTTACTGGACCCACCAAGGGAGAGGCGTTCCGTGACTTTGAAATCATCAACAATCATGACGGCACCCACACTGTTAAATACACCCCTGTTCAACAGGTGAGCCAATGTTTGCTCTTGAAGTCTCCATGACTGGTGATGCTTGGTTTTGAAAAGAATATTGCCGTGTTTGAATATTGTAACTATGGTTTTCTAAATGTTATTTAGCAAATGAGTACTGCTGCAATCTAAGTGCTCATTTTCTTCTGTAGGGCAATATGGGTTTGAATGTCACATATGGTGGTGATCCCATTCCCAAGAGCCCGTTTGCTGTAGCAGTCGCCCCATCCCTGGATCTCAATAAAGTTAAAGTGGCTGGTATTGGAGATAGTAAGTTATCACTTTACTTGTCTAGCTTGCCAGTTAACCTGAAAGTCACGAATGAGAGTTGCTTTGACATCTTTGACTAAATGTAACATTGAAACGTCTGTGAGGCTGCTTTGAAATGTGTTGTGAAAAGTGCTATACAAATAACCTTTGATTGGATTGAATCACCTTTAACCTTTTACAAGTCAAAATTATCTGCTCTTTATTTTTTTTAGCAATGACCGTCGGCAAGGATCAGGAGATCACAGTCAAGTCCAAAGGAGCAGGTGGCCAGGGCAAGGTTGGCGCCAAGGTCACAGGTCCATCTGGCAAATCGGTGCCTTGTAAAGTTGAACCAGGCCTGAGCCCAGAAACCAGTCACGTCCGTTTTATCCCCAGAGATAAGGGACCCTATGAGGTTGAACTGACATTTGATGGCGCCCCCATCCCCGGCAGTCCGTTTCCCGTGGAAGCCATTGCACCTACTGACCCATCTAAGGTAAGGCAGTTTAGAAACCTAGGAATTAAATATTATTGGCAGTTTAACAAGGCGACAACAAGGCGTCAGGAAAAGCTCTTTGTGGGGTGTTTATTCTATAAACTGTAATTTGCTTAATGTTGCACGACTTCTCAGTGAGTGGTTTTGGCGTCGAAGTCCCATATTTGCTTTAGCAGTGGAACAAATATACCCTTTCATTCATATCCCCTCTTCTCATGTATAGGTGCGATGTTCTGGGCCAGGTCTGGAGCGAGCTAAGGTTGGCGAGCCAGGACAGTTTGTGGTCGATTGCACTAATGCTGGTCCTGCTGAGCTGACTATTGAGATCATCTCAGACAATGGCACCGAGGCTGAAGTCCATATTCAGGACAATGGGGATGGAACCTACACCATCACTTACATCCCTCTGTACCCTGGAGCTTATACTCTCACCATCCGCTATGGTGATCAGGATGTGCCAAACTTCCCAGCCAGACTCAACGTGGAGCCTGCTGTGGAAACCGGTGGAGTGAAAGTGTTCGGACCTGGAGTGGAAGGCAAAGGTAGTGTGGTGTTCTCAGGTTTATCAAGCAGGAGTTCCTCTTGTCTTGGCTTATTTAGCCACTTTGAATGATTGTCTGTAGGTGTTTTCCGGGAGGCCACTACTGATTTCACTGTGGATGCTCGTCCTCTCACCAAAACGGGTGGCAATCATATCAAGACTTGTATCAATAACCCATCAGGCAACCGCACAGAAGCTCTGATTAGAGACCTGGGAGATGGCACCTACCAAGTGGAGTACACGCCCTATGAGGAGGGTGAGTTTCAGCACAACTTTTAAAAATTGTAAAAATTTGGTTTATTATGGGTTGCTTTTACACCAGTCTTCTATATTGTATGTTAATAGGCACACACAGTGTTGAGGTTACATACGATAATGCCCCAGTTCCCAAGAGCCCGTTCCGTGTGCCAGTGACCGAGGGTTGTGACCCAGCACGTGTGCGTGTACATGGTCCAGGACTTCAGTCTGGCATCACTAACAAACCCAACAAGTTTACAGTGGAGACCCGGTGGGTAGATTCAACACTCTGCTATTTGTTTTAATCTTGAGCTAAAATCAGTTGCTGTGTCAATAGGTCTGGTTTTAAGGTTCTCTGCCTCACTTCATGTTTGTGTTTTGATGCAGTGGGGCCGGTACAGGTGGCCTGGGGCTGGCTATGGAGGGACCCTCTGAGGCCAAAATGTCCTGCACTGATAACAAAGATGGCAGCTGTTGTGTTGAATACATCCCATATGAGCCAGGCACATACAACCTCAATGTTACCTATGGAGGCCAACCAATCACTGGTCAGCATTTTTACATGTGCTAGTATTTTCTTTCTGTCTCTCTCTTTTTTTTTTTTTTAAATTTGTTTTTATTGTAATTTATTTGTTTATTTTTGTATTTTCTTTTTTTATAATGTAGTAGTATTAGAATATGGGGATAGAGTAGGCAGGAAGTTAGAGGTTGTTATTTTGTTTTGGCATATGCTCCTTCCTGAAGTCATTTTAATCCTTAAAGTCATTAATTTGTGAAATCATTTATCATATGTTTTGAAATCATTTATTTTAAAGCTTCTAAATAAATCAAATGTAAAAAGTGATGTCCACGATACTGTTGATGCAACTAAAGTGAAATGCCAGGGTCAGGGGCTTGGGAACAATGTGCGTGCCAATATCCCACAGGTCTTTTCTGTGGATACAAGCAAGGCTGGAGTGGCTCCCTTGCAGGTCAGAGTGCAGGGACCCAAAGGTGAGACCGTGATTCAATAATCATCTTGTTTATTTGGCTTTTTCCCCCCTCCATTGATTTAAGAGGACTGTTTGTTGTGTAGGTGTCGTGGAGCCTGTTGAGGTGGTGGATAATGGTGACCAGACTCACACTGTCAGCTATGTACCCACCAGAGAGGGGCCGTATTCTATTAATGTCCTGTATGCTGATGAAGAGATCCCACACAGGTAAACTCCAGGCTCAGATCAATGACTTACCACCCTGTAAATCAAAATGAGTTTTGAAAATGGATTGTAAACATGCAAGTTTTGTTTCTGGTTCTCTTTTTACCTGGAATTTGCATTAAGAATATATACATAGAAACTGTCATCGCTTAACAAAGTGTACTAAGTGTACCTTCTGCATTGTTGATATGGAGTACTTTCAATTAAGAAATATTTGATGCATTTTATCCTTTAATATTTAACAGCATGATGTGTAATCAGTTTTTGCTGTGGTCTTCAGTTGGCATTAAAGTATTGTGAAGTTTCAGTGGTGTTGGCATCGACTACTGGAGTTGATATTATAGCAGGCCTGTTGCATTTTTAAACTCCCTTGGTCCCTGTCCTTCCCTGCTGTTTATTTCCCCTCTCACACGCTCATCTTGGTCTCTTTATTCAGTCCTTATAAGGTGAAGGTTCTGCCCACTCATGATGCTAGTAAAGTCCGTGCCAGTGGCCCTGGTCTGAATACCACCGGTGTGCCTGCCAGTCTGCCTGTGGAGTTCACTATTGATGCCAAAGATGCAGGAGAGGGACTCTTGGCGGTCCAGATCACTGTGAGTTGATGCGTTTTACTCTTTACAGCCATAAAGTTGCCATGGTCTCTTTCAACGTTTTTTGCACTGTTTGGTTCTTAATGCTTGTTTTAGGACCCTGACGGGAAGCCAAAGAAGGCTAACATTCGTGATAATCAGGATGGGACGTATCTTGTGTCCTATGTGCCTGACATGACTGGCCGCTACACTATTCTCATCAAATACGGTGGTGATGAGATCCCATACTCTCCATATCGTATCAGAGCCCTGCCAATGGGAGATGCCAGCAAATGCACAGTCACAGGTATGTAATGCTCAGGTTGGATCAGTTGAAATAAATTACCATTCCATTCATTACTGATTGCTACACTTTGCAGGCCCCTTTCCATTCATTTTAAACTAATCTATTGAGCTCTAAACATAAAAAGCAATATAATAATTTGGTAGGGCAGCGTGATGTTGAAATAAAATCAATGTAATCGGTATTGCTTAATGTGATAATCAAATTACACAATATAGATTAAAAATGTAATACGAAATATAGCTGAAACACTGTCCTGAGCTGCATACAGTGCCATGTGTCACTCTGAAACCAGCAGTGTAATTTGCCGACAGTTTAACACTTGAAAATTTAAAATTAGAATGTAAATATTAGTGTTGTGATTTTACTGTTATACTTTTTTATTTTTCCTAAATGGTCAAAAAAAATTGTGTAGTATTATTGCAATTTTAATTTGTACTTATTTTGCAGTTACATCATTAAATGTCAATTTAATGAGAATTTGGTTATGAAAACAACAATTTTTCAAGTTTTATGAATTGTTCAACACTTTTATACAAAAGTATGGTTCGCACTTCAAAAAAAAGTTTCAGATTTAAAAATTGTAACTATTCAAATCATCTGGTGAAAATTCCTGTATTGTTTTCATATCACAAAATATGAAATTGCAGTGTCAGTTTTTCAAAATACTTTTTTTCTGAAAAATGAGCCAAACTGCTTGATGTCCATATTACAGAAAGGAGAGGGTAAATGTACCTCTTTATTTACCCATTTCTGGTGTCTTAAGATGTCCACCATTTTTCTATCTAATCTAAACCTCAATGTTCAGGCTGGTTGTTACAAGGGAACAGATTTTGATCCTTTTGCGTAAAGTTTGTTCTGTGTACTGCTCCCATCTTCATCCCCCACCCAGAAACACACCACCTGTTGTGCAGCGCTGCTCACATTCCCATCACTTCATTCCTCACTTCTGTTTTATCTTTTGCACACATTGTTGTATTTTGCCCTGATTGTTACTTTTTCACTTTTTCTCGCTCTGCTTCACGGTCTCTCAGTCTCAATCGGAGGTCACGGTTTGGGTAAGCGCTTTGAATAATGCTCTAGTCTTGTCATTTGGTACTGCATGCAGAATTGCACGGTGTCCAATACCAACGGCCTCATAATTTGCCATCCTATCCACTACTATAGCTAAGACGTAGTCCATATGTAGATTACCTTGCATTTCCCGCCATTTCAAAATGACTCCAAGTACAACAACATCTCAAAGTAGTTGATGATTGCAGGTGACTAATGACTAACTTACCAGGTCTTTAATATGCCAGTATGGTGGAATGTACGTGTACTGATATTGTTTTCCTCAGCTTGCGTATTTTTCTTTTGTATTAGTGGTCGCATCATTAAATCGACAGCTCTGGAAATCGAGGTAACAGACAAAAAGGATAGTGGATCTATAATTTTAAAGTCACAGAGGAGTATTACATTTTGCATTAAATCTTAACCTGTATAGACGGAGTAGATCTCTTTAAATGATGGATCCCAAATCTCTAAAGCTGTTGCCTTGATGCTCCAGACATTTTGCATTAGTGCATGGTGGAATGTAACTATGGAGGGATGGGTACTAAACTATCTAATAACAAGACATCTGTCTGCATGATACCCGTTACTAAACCTTTCTCTGCATTCTGTAGGTGCTGGAGTTGGTCCAACTATTCAGATCGGAGAGCAGACGGTCATCACTGTGGATGCAAAGGCAGCTGGGAAGGGCAAGGTGACGTGCACGGTGTGCACTCCGGATGGAGGCGAGGTGGATGTGGACGTAGTTGAAAATGAGGATGGAACATTTGACATCTTCTACACAGCACCCCAGCCTGGCAAATATGTCATCTGTGTGCGCTTCGGCGGAGAACACATCCCCAACAGCCCCTTCCAAGTCACGGTACATATATGCCATACAGATCCTTTGTGTTCATATGGAGCGCTGTTTATTCATTTCAAATGTTGAACTCTCACAGGAAAATCTTTCCAGCAGGATAGTGTTAAATGTACACTGTGAACCTTTAGTGCAAAACCACCATTCCAATGTGAATAAATTCGTAGCTTATTCTTGCAGTTACACTGTTGTGTTAGCATCAACATGCAATTTAAGGGATTAGTTCACCCAAAAATGAACATTGTCATCCTCGCGGTGTTCCAAAACCGAATTACTTTCTTTCCTCTAGGGTAGCGGTTGACTCAGGCCCCTCATTGTCCAACAACCAAAATATTCAAAGCCCCTCAGTATTGGCAAAGATATTTTCTCTTGTATTTCTGCTGTAATTATGACAGCACTGCTTGTTTTCAAATTTTGTTCACAGAAACTGGGAGTGATAAATTAAATGGGAAGACATAATATATTAAATTGAAAGAAAATTTATTTGATTTCTATAAGTTTAAGATACTGTATCTGTATGTTTCTTTAAAATAGATTGAGAAGTTTAAAAAACTTTTAGGACAAGGCCTTTTCAAGCCTTAACTTCAAAATGTTTTTAATTTTATGCGACATGTTCATAGCAAATTTGAGCATGTTGCTGGCATGTATTAATACTTCCATGTTTTAGCATAAATTTAAAGTATCTCTAAAAGTAATTAAGTAATTAAAGTTTGAATGTTTAAATTTGAATTTTTGACAGTTGGTGTTTGAAGAGTCTTGGCTCATTTGAACATTTCATCAGTGTAGATCTATGGGATTTGAGTTTTTTTGTTTTGTTTTTAATTTATCGTTGATTTAAGGAAAACCGTAAGTCTGATCATAGGAAAGATACAGCATACAGTAAGTCAGAATAACCTGAATGTCTGGCCTGAGTTTGCTCATGGATTGAAAACTCTAGGCTCTGTTAATGATGGTGATTTTGGTCTCAGAGGAAGGCCACATTGTTGTATTTGAGTCCTTACTGGAGTGATGACTGTATTGTGTAACCAAACTCGCACTCTTAAATTTTCAGGACTCTCAGCCATTTTTCTGCATTTCTTCTGTGAGAACTGAAGCATACTGGACAAGTTCATTTTGTGTGTGTTTATAGAATCAATTTTTTTTTCTTTTTTTCTAAAATGCAATTCCTGTTAAGTTTACTGTTGAACCACTGTGCTGAGGCAAATATCATTTAGTGACATTTTAGCCAATTCCTCACACAAAAACTGGTTTTAGAAAAACGTAAGGGTCAAAATTGACAGCATTTGAATTTCAGGATGAACTGTTGTTTGGCAAGAATCTAGATCTCTTAAAGTGGCTTCTGGTTGAACAGCTTTGAACCGGAGGTGGTTGTTATTAAAGGGATTTCATCTTTGATTCTGTTGCCCTGTCTCAGGCTTTGGAAGGTGACTCTCCTGACCAACTAATGCAGCAGACCCAGAACCTGCAGTACGCCTACGCGCCCAACATGGGCCAGCCATGGGTACTGACACACCCCTCTTTCCTCCCCGTCTCCATGTCCTGCTCTGCTACTGATGAGTCCCAAATCAGTCCTACGTCCTTCCCCTTTTCACCCTCCTGTTTTTCTCTTCCTCCAGGTTTAGGGTTTATTTCACCTAATTTCCAATGATTCTGCTTTGTGGACTCTTAAATACATTTTCATTGAATCAGAATGACAGCCATTTTGGAAAACACTAAATGTGGGGAATCACACATTTGAACAAAATGGCTGGTTGTTGCCGAGCTTAAGCTGTGTGTTTGACACTTTCATTGTCTCTTGTGTGGGCATTTAGATGTTGTTGTTGTTGTTCTTGTGTGTGTGTGTGTGGTACATCATCGTTGGTCACGTTGTCACTTGTCTGCTTGGCTTTTTCTCCACCCCTTCTCCAGATTGGTCAATCACTGACTGATCCTGCAATCTCTCATTAGAGTGTCATTCTCTCTGTGTTGGTGGCTGCTTCATCATCCTCGCCATCCTCATCTCCATTATCAATGGTTTTTAAAAAAAAAAAATTAAGGGTACTGTTGTCATGTCTACTGTTTGTGCGCTTCATCTCCATTCATGATATAAGTGTGTTTTCTTGGCATCAATATACAGTTCACTACCGTTAAAAAGTTTGGAGTCACGAAGATTGTTTTATTATTATTAAACAAAACTGTGATCCCTTTTCAGTTTATTTGATTAATAGACATTTTACACAAAAATATTAAGTAGCACAACTGGTTTTAACATTGATAATATTAGAAATATTTCTTGATCACCAAATCAGTATATTAGAATAATTTCTGAAGGATCATTTGACACTGAAGACTGGAGTAATTGTCACAATTCAGGCAAATGCATTTGAAAGACTTTTCAAAAACACTTTGAAGTCTTATAGACACCAAAATTTTAACTGTAGTATATGTAGACCTCAGCCATAACTTTATATTCTCAGGATGTCAGTTTAATATTATTCTTTGTCTGCTGTTGATCATGTATCTTGTATAAACTCATGACCTAGTAAATTAAACACAAAGTGGAATAAAAAGTAACATTGAACCAATTAAGCAATAAGCAAATCCTGATTACTTGACATAAGCCTCAGAAACTAACCCATTAGTTACAGATCTTCAGTTTCTGATGGCAATCTGAGTTCAGTGTCGACCTTATGGTTAGTTTTGATCTGACTGATTCCCCTCTTCTTCCTCACAGGCTACAGACGGGCAGTTGGGCATGAACGGACTGGATGTAGCTGGTCTGAGACCCTTCGACTTGGTCATTCCTTTCACCATCCAGAAAGGAGAAATTACAGGTATTCTACTCTTCTGTTATTGGACAGATTTGTAATGTCCTGATTTCTACAAGAAGATTCTTGTGTACCCCACGCCTTACAGGTGATGTGAGAATGCCTTCTGGAAAAGTGGCCAAGCCTGATATTACCGATAACAAGGACAGCACAGTCACTGTGAAATACGCCCCAACTGAGGCTGGCCTGCATGAGATGGACATTAAATACGACGGAATACACATCCCAGGTAAAAGAACCTGTAATTGGCCACTTGTTTCTTTTTCCAGCCATACAAACAAGTTTACAAGAGATAAATACTTAAAAAAAAATTTTTTTTGGGGGGGGGTTAATCAGTATATAAACTGCTCAAGAAATCCTTCTCTTGCGTCTTAGGAAGTCCACTGCAGTTCTATGTGGATTATGTCAACAGTGGTCATGTGACTGCCTATGGTCCTGGTCTAATTCATGGCATGGTTAATAAACCTGCAGTCTTCGCTGTCAACACCAAGGATGCTGGAGAGGGTATAGATGCTCACATATTGACCAATTCAGCTTTTATTTTATTTATCCTATTTATTTATTAACTTTTTTTATTTACCAACTTCCTTAGTTTTATTTCTTATTTTTTTATATCCTGTTGGTTTTTTTCCCCCTTAATTTTCTTAATTCATTAATTATTTATTATACTAATGCTTAAGCCATTCTGTTATTTAACAGACGACCTTAAACTCTATAGTGTGAACAGCCCAAAATGGAAAAACTGGTTACAATATTTCTTGTTTATTAGGTGGTCTGTCTCTGGCCATCGAGGGTCCGTCAAAGGCAGATATCAGCTGCACTGATAATCAGGACGGTACCTGTACGGTCTCTTACCTCCCTGTTCTTCCTGGAGACTACAACATCATTGTCAAGTACAACGACAAGCACATTCCCGGCAGCCCTTTCATGGCCAAGATCACAGGTGCTTTAAGTGCTGCTTTGAGATTTGGAAGCAAAAAAGTCCATTCATGTCCATTGTTTAAAGTGAAGTCATCAAATCTGTGTCTGTCCGCAGGCGATGACTCGATGCGCATGTCTCATCTGAAGGTGGGCTCATCGGCTGACATCCCTCTAGACATCGGCGAGCTGGACCTCAGCCAGCTGACCGCATCTCTTACCACCCCCTCTGGCCGGGAGGAGCCGTGTCTGCTCAAGATGCTCAGGAATGGGCATGTGGGTAAGTGTTACGATGGAAGTGACAGTATGTGGAATGAAATGTGTGAAATCTGCAGTTGTTCTAATCGCATCTATTTCGGGCGTTTTCTCTCAAGGTATTTCCTTTGTGCCCAAGGAAATTGGAGAGCATCTGGTTAACATTAAGAAAAATGGACGTCATATTCCTAATAGCCCCATCTCAGTCATGATCAACCAATCTGAGCTCGGTGATGCCAGCCGCGTGCGTGTAACTGGTCAAGGCCTGAGTGAAGCCCGCACCTTTGAGCCTGCAGAATTTGTCATTGACACCAGAGATGCAGGTAAGATGTTCAAAAACAAAACGTTGGATTCTTTTTAATACTTATGAATTTATGAATCTAATTATTTTTGGTCATTTTTTTTTGTATTTAATTTATATATTTTTTTAATTAAATTTTCTTTTCTTTTTTTTTAGGATATGGAGGACTCAGCTTGTCTATTGAGGGACCCAGTAAAGCAGATATAAACACTGAAGATCAGGAAGATGGCACCTGCAAAGTCACTTATTACCCCACAGAACCAGGAAATTACATTATTAACATCAAATTTTCAGACCAACATGTTCCAGGTATTTACTAGCAGTGTTGCACTTTCAGAATGACAGTATGTTCAAAAACAAAATGTTGGATTCTTTTTAATACTTATGAATTTATGAATCTAATTATTTTTGGTCTCATTTTTTTTTTTGTATTTAATTAAAAAAAAATTTAATTCAATTTTCTTTTCTTTTTTTTAGGATATGGAGGACTCAGCTTGTCTATTGAGGGACCCAGTAAAGCAGATATAAACACTGAAGATCAGGAAGATGGCACCTGCAAAGTCACTTATTACCCCACAGAACCAGGAAATTACATTATTAACATCAAATTTTCAGACCAGCATGTTCCAGGTATTTACTAGCAGTGTTGCACTTTCAGAATGACAGTTGTAGTTAGTCCTTTATTGATGTATGATTCCACAGACTGTTTAACTTCACCCGTTATGCTCCTCCAACAGGAAGTGCTTTTACCGTCAAAGTGACAGGAGAGGGTCGGATGAAGGAGAGCATCACCCGCAGAAGAAGAGCTGCCTCTGTGGCCAATGTTGGCAGCCAGTGCGACCTCAGCCTGAAGATCCCTGGTAAAACTTGTGGGAAAAATATTAACATAATCATCATAAACAATTCCCTCCTTTAACACTTCTACATCGGTCGCCCTCTGTACTTTTTGATCCACAGAGATCAGCATCGCAGACATGACCGCTCAGGTGACCAGCCCATCTGGCAAAGTACACAAGGCTGAGATCATGGAGGGAGAAAACAACACGTACTGCATTCGCTTCGTGCCCACGGAGATGGGTGTGCACACGGTCAGTGTGAAGTATCAAGGTCAGCATGTCCCCGGATCCCCCTTCCAATTCACTGTGGGTCCTCTTGGAGAGGGAGGCGCCCATAAGGTCCGTGCAGGAGGCCCAGGATTAGAGAGAGCAGAGGCGGGTGTACCAGGTATGAGGTGTTGGTCTGTCTTTACATATTCGGTGTCAAATTAGTTTTAACGGTCACATTTTGGCAAAATTTCATATGCACTTTCAAATCAAGCAGCTTTCCATTGGTCAACATGGCATTAACAACTGCAAAATCTATGTTGGGATATCTTTCACCTTCAATTGTGTGGAATATGATTGAAAAGACAAATTTGCAGAACAATGATCTTAATGCTTCATGTTTTCCCCTTGTGCAGCTGAGTTCAGCATTTGGACCCGTGAAGCAGGAGCTGGTGGTCTGTCCATTGCGGTCGAGGGACCCAGCAAGGCAGAGATTGCATTTGAAGACCGCAAGGATGGATCCAGTGGTGTCTCCTACATTGTCCAGGAGCCTGGTGAGGCTTTTGTTCTGAATTCTCCCTGTTCTTCCTTATGGTAGGTTTTAAGCGTCTAAGCTGACTGCTTTCCATCCATTTCAGGCGATTATGAAGTATCCATCAGATTCAATGATGAGCACATCCCTGACAGTCCATTTGTGGTGCCTGTGGCCTCACCATCTGATGACGCCCGCCGTCTCACTGTTGCCAGTCTTCAGGTGAGGCTTCGAGAAAGACAGACATTTGTCCACCCAAAACAACTCCAAAGTCAACCCTTGGCACAGCAGCCACAATAGGGCCTTTCGCACCGCAGGAACCTTTTCATAGTACCAGAACTAATTGTGGAACTACCCACTTTTCGGCACAAGTCAACCCTTGGCACAGCAGCCACAATAGGGCCTTTCGCACCACAGGAACCTTTTCATAGTACCAGAACTAATTGTGGAACTACCCACTTTTCGGCATGTTCGCACCGCTGGAACTGGGAGCGATTTTAGTACCGGACTGCCTTTTTCGAGAACCAAATTAGCTCCTACTCCGGAGCAGGGTCTAACCAGCACAACTGGTACTAATCGTGGCGTAAGTAGACATTGATTGGCCAAACTCGTACAAAAACGCCCTCACCCGCCATGATTTAAAACGCTGTGTAAACACTGTAAACATTGTCAACTTATTTCGCAAGAATGGAGAGCAGCAATAGATGGACGGACGCTGAAGTGCAGGCACTTGTAGCAAATGTAGCACTGCCAGATGTCGTTGGAGATTCTTAGTCCTCCTTTCCGTTCTTTCAATCGCTTTACGTATACGTCGACATTCAATGTCCATTATTGTGAAACCCGCAAGACACAACAAAAACCGCTCCGATCACCGCGTCCTCCATCCTCCTGTTGTTAACGTAGTTCTTGGTTTCTGTTGTTGAATGCCGCGCACAAATGACGTCGCTGTCGACCAGCTTACGTCACTACTTAGTACACACTGTCGGTGCGAATGCAACCCTTTAAATGGTACTGGGAAATAGTTCGCGCAAAATCGTCCCAGTACTTTAGTACCGTACATTTAGTTCTGGAACTAAAAATGACAGTGAAAACATTACCTCACATTAAACAAATCAAACTTGGCTTCATGTCATGGTACTATCTCAAATACAGGAAAGGAGAGGTAAATGTCATACAGCACTACACATGCTCTCACATACATGCACACTTTTGATAACTGCGTAATGAGTAAATCTTTTACTTCAACTATTGATAAATGAAGTCAAAATATTGCATACACATCACACCAAAAAGGCCCCAGTTATCAGTTGCTGCTGTGTTCACGGGCTGCACTGGGGTTTCTGGGATATTGAAGGACTGTTTGTAATTCTCGTGCCTTGTCCTAAAGGCTCCCAACAGCCCTACCACCAACATGGCTGGAAATGATTGGCTAAAGGGTTAAAGAGGGCAAAAGAGGCTTGTTTGTCTTTCAGTTTTTTACTTTGAACTATTTCCTTTTTTGTATTGCTGGGGGTGGAGGGTTTTCATTTCTTGGTCTCTCAAAGCCTCTCTCTTTAACCCTGTTAGCCTGAAGGTAAGAGATGTAGTGTGTCATATTAGACGAGGGCCTGTTACATGTTTGTAGTGTCAGACTTTTACGCAGTTTTTGATGCTTGGTTGAGTGTGGCAGTGTTGTGTTAATGCAGGAGTCCGGATTAAAGGTGAACCAGCCGGCCTCTTTTGCTGTGAGCCTAAATGGGGCGAAGGGAGTCATCGATGCCAAAGTTCACAGCCCATCCGGAGCACTTGAAGAGTGCTGTGTTACAGAGATCGATGAAGGTAATGATGGGTTAAAGGTTTGACTGTGTTTTGCATTGTATGCTTGCACTTCAAAATGAAACCTATTGAGGCATTTACATATTTTTTGGAAATGAAGCATCCAGAAGAAAGATTAACGGCTTCAAAAAGGACTTAAATGTTGTTACTTGTATTACCAT